ACTTTTCCTGTTGAGCAAAGGTCCCCAAACAAAATATTCCACTCAGAATTTGGAGTAATTATTACGTCCAGACACCGAATGCATACAAAGACCAATAACCACGCATCACGTCAACTCGGTATTGCTTGGTATACGTCTGGATTTCCGGTTTTTTGTCCAGCTAGACATAATAATTTTCCTAGGATTTGTGAGTCTAAGTTTATTATAAGAAGTATTTAGCAAAAAAAAATTATATAGGGATATTGTAATCAAAATTTAATTAAAATTTAATTTTTTTAAATAAATGGAATATTAAAATTGATTAAATTATACATCTAAAAATAAATACAATAATTTTAAATCACTTTAAGATCAAAGTTTGATCGACCTTATTTGAGATTATTTAGACTTCGTTTAGGATGGTTTTCTTACTGCTTCTTAAAGTAACTTTTTAGCATGAAATTTAAAAAGTTGTTTTAAGAAGCAGTAAGAAAGACGTCCAAAATAAAGCCTTAGAGCCCGTTTGTGATGGTTATAGTTTTGGAAAAGATGATTATAAATTTGTTGAGAGAAAAATAATTTTTTTGAAAACAACTATAACAGTACCAAATAAAAACTATGATTGCAATCTGAAAAATAAATGAATAAAAAAGCTCTCCCAAATTAGCCTTAATATCACTATCAAAATTTCCAACTAAATTAGATGATCTACCCCACAAAATTAAAAAGTCCAATAGTGAATCTTCAGAACTAACAAATCTTCAAGGCACCCGTTTGAGTGGCGGAAGGCTTTTATTTCCAGAAGGTTTTATATTTAAAATATTTATCCACCACTCATTTTCTTCTAATAGTTCTTCGTTGAAGAACCCACCAGCAAAGTCCAAGTCTTTCAGCCTTATTTCACATTGTATAAAAACTTAAAACAACAGAAACAATAGATTCCATTTAATGAGCTCACAATGAGTAGCCATAGATAAGATCTTCATTTCCACCAACCGAGCTTCTTGACCTGTTCATTAATGAGTGGCTGGCAGAGCGTTTAGTTGAGCTTATTAGAAGTGGCAAGCCGAAGTAGCTGAATAGAAAATCGATCCTTAATAATTTTGATAGTATTGAGGATATCTTACTTGGCATGAACAGAGGAGGAGATGCTCACATTGATCTTCTGGTCTTGTCATATTTGTAGTTCTATAAAAAGCTTCACTGCAAGCTGCTTATTCAGTTTTGGAGAACAGAAGAAGATCCGGGGCTACGAGAAGGCACCTCTTTGGCAATCTTCTTTTTTTCTTGATGGCTTCACTACTTTGAATTAGGCTTAGTGCACCTCCATCATCATGTGATCATTATCCAAGTTGCACGTTCAGTATCATTTGACATATTCATTTATTGTTTATCTAAAATGGTAGCATAACTAAAAGGTCCGCACACTTAAATTCATCAGCTAATAAAAATTAAGAGACTAATCCATAAAATTAGATTTATTGCTTTAATCTTTATAATAATGCATCATATGTATGCTTCTAATTTGGAGTGAAAAATTAGATGTCCCATACCAGATTATTAATCAAGGTGGAAACAAAATTCATTGTTAGATTAAAATATAAGGGATAAGGGTATTCTTGTTGAAGGCCATTAGTAGCTAGAGGCAAAGAACACTTCAAGATTGCCACTAATAATGATACAAGAATTTATCGAAATTGTGAATAAAGGAATGTATTTCTCTTAAAGTATATTAAGAAGAGAGTCTACGCTAAAATTATTGAATGTTTTTAGGATATCTAATTTGGTGATGAAATAACTTTTTTTAATTATTTTATTGATGTCTTTCATGATTTGCTTAGCTAGGATGATATTATAAAATATTTTTCTTTGCTTGATGAAGGTAGATTGGGCAGGATGATTAGTTTTGAAAAGCAAACCTTCAACTATTAGTAAATGACCTAGGTATAAATTTATAGAAGCAATTACACAAAAATAAGTCTACAATAAAAATTGACATTAACAAGATTTTTTTTTTTTTTTGAGAAATAAAAGTATTTAATGGCTATACAAACTAGTTCTCAATAAAATCCCAAACAAAAGTTAATAATTCAATTGTGTATTAATCTAGCTTAGAAGTGGAGTTCCATGTGATTAAAAACATTCAACTTTATCTCATCATCATAATGGGACAAATCAAGGTTTGATGAACATAGCTAAAAGCTAGTCATGATGGAATCTAAAATTATTAAATTTACTTTTAAGTGGGTATAATATTTTGATAATAAAAATAAATTTTAAATTATTTTCTTAAAATAATTTCAATAATTGTTATATTCCAAATATTTTAAGAGAAAATTTACTTTATATATTTCATAATACTTAAAATTTGAGAAATGTGCCTATTATTTTATTTATTAAGAAAATTTACCTAAATATTCGGTCTGAACCATTCCTAGAATTGGAAGAGATACTCTAGTTTATATAAGCAACCTTTTGCATAATAGATTCATTGAACATTTTGATTATCAATCAGCCTCCTTCTCCGACAAATCTCATTTTGTGAAAGATGATTTTGTGGCCAAGTTCTAATGCAATGTTTTCTATCTCTGGTTGCTAATGGTTGTCATTGAAGATTAGAGATGTATAATGTTCCATCTCTAACAATGTTATATGTTTACAAGTTGAATATGAAACCTAGAAGGATATTAAATATGATATCACTAACTTGAAAGTTACTAAAAACTTATTCTAGCTATGATCAAAATATGTTTGGCATATGATCATACATTTTGTGAAGTTTATTCAAAGTTTGTTTATATTTCTGAATCAGAATTAGATAATGGTCAAAGAAGTCTCGATCATATTTAAAAAATGGTTCACCTATGATCCAAAAAAGTTTCAATTAACACTAAAACATTGTTCAAACAACTTTTAACAATGTTGATCAAGTTTCAACTATTGGTTGATGAAAGTTCGAGAAAAGTTCACATTTATTATTATGCACTATCTCTTTTGAAATCGACTCATTTGAGTTTTCTTGTTTAAGCATACAAATGTATGCTCAAGACACATATAGAGTCGGAGGTATGATGGAGAAATATTTAAGAAATTTAAGATTTTTGAGGCTATTGACATCATTTTGTTAAAAAATGAGAGGCAAGCACATATGATCATATCTATATAGAGGCATTACACTACTTCATGTGAATGTATTGCTACTTTTAATAGATGTATTGCTAAAAGCCAATGCAAAGCTCAATGGTTTATACTTATGATTATAAATTAAAAGCACACATATTATTGCTTAATAAAAATGATTTTAATCTATATCCGGATAATCTTAAGTTGCATATTTTATCATGCTATAAATGTGATCAAATTTAAGCTCTTTATATTGATTTATTTGTGTTATGCTGATATAAATGTGATCATCAAGAGCACATTTTTTAGTGATATAAATATTATGATTGTACTCAATATATAAGTGTAGAACATTAGTATGACTAATATAATTTAATATAAAGCTTCTTATTAACCTTGGTTCTATTTAGGGCTGCAAGTGAACCAAACGTTCGGCGAGCTACTTGTTGTTCGATTTGATTAAAGCTCGTTTGTGATTGTTTAATTAACTAAACAAACAAACTTGAACAATATTTTAATACTCGTTTCTTAAATAAACAAACTTGAACACGAATGCGTTCGGCTCATTTATGTTCGCGAACAACATCATTTGAAGCTCGTGAGCAAGCTTGACATTAAACTCGATAAGAAGCTTGATAAAAGCTCGATTCGTGTTCGATTTTGAAAATGTGAATAAGCTCGATAAAAATAAATAATATTTGATTTAGAACACTTCTCCTTTTCATTAGAACGCTCTTTCAGATTGTTGCATGTATCAGATATTACTTAAATTGCTATCTAAGTAATTATAGCTTTATATGACTATTTATTTATAAATCATTGCCTTTGTTAATGTTGTTGTTAGAAAAATTCTGTGAAGATGAGATTTGCTTATAAATCATTGCCTTTGTTACATAGAAAATTGCTTTTATTATAAATGTGTTTGTTCGTATATATGTTCATGAACGTGTTTGTTTGATACTTTAAAAAATTTGTTAAATATGTTCGTGAACATGCTCGATGTAATCGTTTGTTAGGAAGCTCGATAATGCTTGTTTGTTAAGTTAATGAACATCTAAAAGTAGAGCTCATTTATAGCTCGTTCATGTTTGTTTGTTTAAAGCTCGATAAGCACTAAACGAACCGAACATGAATTGAACATGAACCGAACATGAACACTCATTAATTTAAATGAACCAAACATGAACACAAATAATAAAACTCGAACAAACATGAATCAAACTTGAACAAGTTGATATTAAATGAACAAAAATATGAACACTCACATACTCGGTTCGGCTCGGTTCGTTTGCAGCCCTAGTTCTATTTACTTTAATGTATTAATTGTTGTGATTTTATTCATATTCCAACATTAAATGAACATTATTTAAAATATATATATAATTTTTTCTAAAAATATTATTTAAATCATGTTTGAATTTTAATTATTTTTTAAAATAAGAATAATTGATAATCAATTCGGGTTGGAATAATTAATATATAATTATGGATTGAAATGTTTATCAAGTATAGTTTTAGTCTTAATCAAATGGTATTGAATCTGATTGGAATATTATCCAATCAATTTGATCACGATGAATTGAAAATAGAGAGTATTTGGATTTGAACAAAAATTTTAAATATTTTTATAAAAAAAAAAGTGAATTATCTAATTCTGAGCATTATTAGACATGTAAAATCAACTTTTTTATTTTAAGTTTCTTAACTCAATTTGTCTTTTGTTTTTTCCCTCCTTTTTTTGTCCTCTAAACCAATAAAAAACTCGCCCAATATACGTTTATACGAACACCTACGCCATTTTTCATAATTTTAAGGGCAGTTCCGTCAAAAAGGATCCAAAGGGTATCAGTCAAAGACGCGACACAAGGGGCTACAACTGTCGAAACAAGGAGACGGCAAATTACGCCACTCCCTCTACTCCGATGTGACCATCCCCTCCATCTTCGCCTTTAAACCCTTTCGTCCCCCGGTACTCCTGGCCTCTCTCCAAAGAAGAAAGACAGCACAGAGAAAATAAGGGAGGAGAGAGGAAATTTACCATTCACCTCGTGGTGGCGGATATAATCGCAACAGAGGACGGTAAAGCTCATTTGATCCTCTAATTACCTGCTACTATTCTTTATCGTTCTCAGTTGCACTCTCTCCCATTCCTTGTTATTCATTCCATGATTTCTGTGCAATTTTCTTCATAAACAAACTTCTTGGATTTTTGTTTTCTTCTAAAATGGTCGCTTCAAAATTCAAAGCAAGGAGAACCGTTTGAGTCTCCCAATATAATGAATATATTGCAAAAATGGCAGCTTTGTGATCCATAAAGGAAGGATGGAATTTTCCTTATATTTGCATTTTCATTTATCTCCTTCTTTGAATTCTGTGGATACTGAGGCGGTGGATAAGGACTTCTCCACTCTCGAGTGGATTTTTACCACTGTCACATCCATTGCTCTCTTCTTCCTCTTCCTGGAAAGCAGCGACCCGAAAAATCCGAACTACAAAAAACGAATATTTGCTCCTCCTAGTTTATCTTTTAACTTGTGGATGGAATGATTAATATTTTTAGTAGAATGTTCATTTTAATGGGTTTTTACTCACCAGGAAACCATCTTTTTTTAGTGGAAGCAATGAGAACAAGGTTCGGCAAAAATCTTAAGGTAGAATTTCTTCCTTATTTAGAGCAATCTTGTGATCACTCTGTAGAAATTTTCTCATCTCATGCTCCTAAAATTATTACAGTCTTACTCTTGGCCGAGGTCAGTGGTGCATAAATTCTTAAAAGGTCAAGACTTAAAGTCTAACACGGAGTGCACGTCTAAGAGTATATTTCAATCACTTCCTCTGTTAATTTATTGCAACTATTACCTTTAGTATTCAATTAATTCATCTTATTCAAAAAGCAGGAGCGATTGAATCCCAACAGAGAACGAAGAGCTTCTCCAATAAAGATGATTCGCTCTTCATTTCAAAAGACTTATCTGGTACTCTATCTTTCTCTATCCACTCTGTTCTGCTCTGTTTCCTAACCATTTCGTAGTCCCATCCCTCCTGTCAACTCTATGCTCTCTGCAGTCCGTAGGGAAACAGGATTACATTCTCGTCTTTTCATTAGAATCTCTCTCTCTCTCTCTCTGACGATTTCTTATCTTTTTCCTTTCAGTGGCAGAGTGGTTAGAGAACAGTTCTGAGTCTCTCAGGCTCGATACTTCCCCGCATCAGAGCGTAAGGTATGCAGTTATTTTCTTCCTCCCAAAGAAACGTCATGTCTGCCCAAAATCTAATTTTTTTTTCTATCGCCGGCGACCACAGAATGTTTGTCGGAACTTGGAACGTTGGCGGCCGAGCTCCCGACTCCGATCTCAACCTCCATGACTGGCTAACATCCTGTTCCTCTTGTCCAGCTGACGTATACGTACTCGGGTAAGTTCTCCTCAATCCTTGTCGATAACAATGCCGAAAATTTCCCCGCTTAAGCTTTATCCCGCCCTCCTAACTATTCTGACGACCGGCAGGTTCCAAGAAATCGTGCCGTTAAACGCCGGCAACGTCCTCGGCGCCGAGAACCGCGTTCCCGCCGGCCAGTGGCTCTCGCTCATAAGGCAGGCACTGAATCCTCACAGAAACGGACAGGCAGTTACGTACGAACCCATCACGTTGGAGGAAGCCGCTGAGGCGGTGCCGTGGACCTGCGAGGAATTGGGTGGCCTCGGGAGCAGAGACGGCTACAGGCTGGTGGCAAGCAAGCAGATGGTGGGGATCTTCTTGTGCGTGTGGGTTCGTGCGAGCTTATTGCCGCACGTGAGCAGTGTCCGCGTCTCGTGCGTAGGGAGGGGCATAATGGGTTACATGGGAAATAAGGTGGGCCTGCTTTCCTAAAAACCGATTAGTAATTAATAAATAATTAGAAGTTAATTAATTATGAATTATGCAGGGTTCAATCTCAATTAGCATGACATTAAGAGGAACAACATTTTGTTTTGTATGCACTCATTTGGCGTCCGGTGAGAGAGAAGGTGATGAGGTGAGAAGGAACGCCGATGTGATGGAGATATTGAAGAAGACTAAGTTCAATAAGTCCAATTGCATCTTCTATGATTCACCCGACACTATTCTGGAACACGAGTAAGTTAGTTTAATCTCTTTTCATTTATAATTAAAACATAATTAAGATGCACTAATTAATTTATGTATTTTTGTTTGAATTGCAAAATTGATCTAATTTTCAATTGATCTTTGGTCTGCACAGTAAAGTAGTCTGGTTGGGGGATTTGAATTATCGCCTTGCGGCCTCGTGGAATGAGATGCTGGAGCTGCTTCTGGAGAAGGATTGGCGAGCGTTATTGGATATGGATCAGGTGAGTTGAAATTAAAGGCTTCGTTTGAGACGGCTTTCTTACTGTTTTTTAAAGCAATTTTTTAGTACAAAAGTTTTCGGCTTTCTTATTGCTTCTTAAAGCAGCTTTCTAGTACTCTAGTTATTAGAAAGCTGCTTTAAGAAACAGCAAAAAAGCTGTCCCAAACGGACAGTAAGTGTAGGGATTATAAGCAGATTAGCTATAGAAGTTGTGATTAATAAATGAATTGATGGCAGCTTAGGAAAGAGCAAAGAGGAGGCCGCGCGCTGGGCGGATGGGAAGAAGGGAAGATAAATTTCCCTCCCACTTACAAATACGTAGCTAATTCCGACTCCTACGCGGTTAGAACGGCTAAGACCGGTGGCAAGCGCCGCGCACCTGCTTGGTGAGTATTTGCCTTTGTTTAATCTTCTTTATTTTGGTAATAATTACGGTAGAAATGCCTATTGAAGGAAAAGAAAATATTACCCTCTGAACTAATTCATTGATCAAATAGAAGCTAACTTCATCAAAATTTATTTATTTTTTTGATACTAAGGTTTAGTTTGTGATGGCTTTCTTGCCGCTTCTTAAAACAGCTTTTTAGTACAAAAATTAAAAAATTTGTGCTAAAAAGCTGTCAAATGGATTATTGTGATCCATAACAATTGGGTTCATTTTGTATCATTTTTCTTGATTATTCATATGCCTTCTTTTATTCGCATTTATAAGTTAATAATTCTCTTCTTTTTGTTCATCAAACGCATCATATCATCTATATCATAATGAGAATTTTGAAGTAATCTCCGTCATTTAATGTAACAGAGAAATCATCAATGGCCCCCACTTTGATTGCCTCCCTTTACTTGTTGGTTAACTATTTCAAATAGGAGTGTCAATTTTTGACACGACCCAAAACACGACCCGAACTTGACCCGAAAAAATCCGGGTTCGGGTCAACCCAAACTCGAAACAGGTCGGGTTCGGGTTGAACAAACCAACCCGCTTTTAGCAACCCGAAATTGACCTGAAAGTAACACGAAAACTCATATTTGACCCAAAAACCCGAGATTGACCCGTTTTTAACCCGATTTTGACCCGAAAATCGAATATTGACCCGATTTGGACCCGAAAATTAGCAATTTTAGGTCAACTTCGGGTCATTCGTGTCGGGTCGGGTTCGGGTTGACCCGAACAGTGCCGGGCCAGTTCCGGGTTCGACCCGAACCCGACCTGCTGACCCGAATTGACACCCCTAATTTCAAACATACTATTTTAAATGTATCAGCTTAGTTCAATATTTGGTATTGCTATCGTTTATCTTTCATTTTCAAATTTTTTGTTGAATTTAATGTTATTTGAAATTTTGAAATGGAAATATAAAATGTCAATGAAATAATTCTTTGGATTATTTTTGGGCAAAAAGATTATTCATTGTTAATTGTGAAAGTCCTTGTGATGAGGCCATGGAGTACTAAGTTTTGTTATCTCCCAACCACTAATTGATAGAAGTCTTGGAGGTGTGTTGTTTGACGATGATCTTAATCTATCCTCTAATGATATTCTCCTGTTATTGGAAGACTTAAAGTGACCGAATCTTCAATTAATCCTTATATCTCCTTCCATTATTTTCATTGGGAAATTGATCATATACCATTGGCAAGCTCACTCATACCCCATAGGATGGATCAATTATTGAAGATTTTGTCTCAAATTAGAGGGGAGATAATATTATGCAGTCTACTTTGGTGTTTGGTGTTAACTAATCTAAGAAGGCTTCTAATGTGATTTTCCTTGTTGGGCTTTCTACCTTTGTTAATGATCTTTTTGTAGACTGTAGTTGAGGGCCTTCAAAAATTCTAGTTATTTTTATAAGCAAATTTGAGGTGTTGACTTGTTTATTGTTTAATTCTAATATTTCTTCATCATTCATAAATATTCATGACATGCACTTTCTTAATAATTATGTAAAGATCTTAATAAATTAAAAATCAGCACAATAATATGAAAGTCATTGGTGCAAAGAGAAATAAATTGATTTTTTTTCGTAATTATACATAGTTTCAGGGGCGGATCCAGCTTCTTTTTTCAGGATGGGCAATTTTTTTTTTTTTTTTTGATGGGCAAAGACACTTATGATTGATAAAATTAGGTCAAAAATTTTTTTTTAGAGGGGGCAAAATACTCAAAATATTCCAAAATATATCCTCTAAAATTTTTTTTAAAAATTTGAACTGAACTTAACCCCCCCCCCCCATCAATACAATGGGGATCTGCCCATACATAGTTTACTTATTTTTTCCATCAAGTAAATGAATTGAAATTCACTAATGGAGGAGAAATTATTTCGAGCGGAGTCTGGACGACAATAATCTTTCGAACATGTGAGTGTATACACTGTATGCAAATTTGTACACAGTATGTATCAATTTTTTGTACACACTATTTGTACATAGTGTGTATATTCACAGTTCAAATGATTCTTCCGTTCAAACTCTGCATGGAATAATTTCTTCTAATGGAGTTGCTGAAGCTAACTTAATAAGCAAAAAGAGAAGAAAATCATTTCCATCCCTTTTTTTAGCTCTTCTTTTTTAATAATTTTTTATTGAAAATATTTTTTAAATGTTCGAAGTTCTCTTAATTAAACTTTTTATCCATCTCGCAGGTGCGACCGCATACTCTGGCGTGGAAAGGGTATGAAGCAGCACTGCTACCTTCGCGGCGAGACCCGTTTCTCCGACCACCGCCCTGTATACGCCCTCTTCACCGTCGATCTCGACGGATACTACGCTCCGGCGAGACCCTCCTCCGGCGGAACCTCGTCGGCGGCGTGGGGCAAGATCCAAGCAGAAGAGATGCTTTTGCTGACGAGAACACAGAGCTGCATACAGACCGCGACCCGGTTCTGACGTGTCGAACCGGGACCAGCTGAACCCATTCGCGAGACCATTGACTTTCTTTTCGGAGCTTTTTTTCCCGTAAAGCAGGCATGAGAGGAGAGGGAGAGAGAGAGGGGGAGAGGCAAAGACGTTAAAGAGAAGGCTACAGCATATACTAACAAAATTTTTTTCTTTCTGTCGCTCGCTGGGGCCACTTACAGGTGGCTGCTAATGGCCAACTGGTATAAAAGACGAGGGATCGAAGTGTAAGAGACGAAGAGAGAGAGAGAGAGAGAGAGAGGGAGAGGGAGAAGAATGATGCCGTCATGATCACGAGCTGATCATGGCCGTTCAGGAGTTCATGGACGGTGTAGGGGCGAAGAGCATATTTTTGATGTGGAAGAGAGGTGAAGCTGTATGAGTTTAATATGTACAAATATTTCAGTGTATATTGCTGAAGCGGATATGACAAGCATAGCTTTTGTTTTGATGTTTAGGATTCGATTTACTGTACAGGGAAAATTTTCATATTAAAATATTCTGATAAATATTAAAATTATTAAATATATCTTAAAACTGGAATGGTTAATTAATTAAATTTTATATTATATTAATATAATAAACTTGAACAAAAGTCATAAGAGGCACTGAAATTTTTACGTGAAAAATCCTGAAAAGAGAAAAAACCACGGGGCCTTAGTTGAAAATTAATCCACCTGTGTTTGTCGTTAATTTCAAATGATGTCCTTCCTCAGAGAAGGTCTTGGCTCAATATAGCAAATATACATCATATAGAGCAAATTACATTGTTGGAGTTGAAAGTATCCAATGACATGAGAGTTTTTATCAAAAGAATATTGGCATGTTCGTTTAGTTGGTAGGACCGTAGTCAGGCCACGGAGGTCGGAGGGACCATAGTCAGGCAAGTGAGGTTGGAGGGACTATAGTAGGGCAATGATGATCGAAGGGACCATTGTCAGATGACCAAAGTTGGAGAGATCGTAGTTGGTGCGTGACGGAGGTCGAATGACAGTTTTCGACAGGCAGCGGAGGTCAAAGGCCTGACCATGGTGTCGGACAGAGGTCCAACTGTGATTGTCGGATAGAGGTCCAACAGCGATCGTCGGATAGAGGTCCAACAGCAGTGGACTAGTGGATAGGGTTTACATGCGGTGCTTAAGGTGAAGCTCTAGGATGCTTCAAGCTTGAGAGCTCTCTTGATTCTCTAGCCAAGGGTATAAGCCTCCAAAAGTTAGAGCCCCTTTCGTGTGGGAAGAGGGGATCCATTTATAGATTTTTTTAGAGTGACATGTTTCATCATAAGTATAGAGAAGATCGGAAAAAAAATCAGAGTGTACCATCGAACGGCCCATATCGATTCCCACAATCAAAGAGCATTTGTTTAGCATTTATGTGTCATAATGATGGATTCCTCTTGCTTAGCCGATTGATTCGAATATATGTATGTTATATTTGGATATCATTTGACTATCCAATTAATATTTTTAAGCTTCCAAATGCGTTTGAGTTCCTCGATTTTGACCCATTGGAGCTTGGATCGGACCAATTTTGGTGTTGTTGGGTTTGTCTTACTGAGTTGCTCGATTTGACAATAAGTTTGCTAAACTTGGAGTTCATATGATCTCAAATTTAATTTTAGAATTTTTTAACTTAACTATGCCTCGAGATTTGTGCTTGATTAAGGCAATTTTTTATGACGCATCATTTTCATTGACAATTTTTTTAGGAAATGCATTGGACATGTGTGATAGAAAGTACCCCTCAAATTTAAAGAAATTTTTTAAATGATGATGGTGAGACATACAATATTTTATGGTGTAGAATGTTGGTCATTAAAAGACAAACATAAATTAAGTATATATAAAGATGCTCAAATGGGTGAGTTGCTTTACACTAAGAGACGAAAAGCGAAACAAGTATAAACATGAAAAGGTTGGAGTAGCTCTATTGGCAAATAGGTGTGTCTTTGATTTCTTGGTCACATAGAACATTAGCCTTCCGATGACCCGGTTAGGAGAGCAGATGTATTAGATATGACATATGTTAAAAAAGATAGAGGTAGACCTTAAAATACTTGGTTAGAAATTATTAGAAAATATATTTTTTAATTAGATTTAAATAAGAATTTGATTGTTAATAGAACAAAATAAAGAAAAAAAGATTCATATAGTCAATCAAAGCCATGTAGTAAGATAAAAGTTTGATGTTGTTATTGACAATTCTACTAAATCTTAGTAAAAGTAGACATTTTTTTATTGGATCATTATCGTAATACATATTCTTCTCTAATAAAATATATATTTTTTATTAGGCAAATGACAAAAAAATATATCTTTTAACTCATTTTTAATTGCATTTCCTCTTCATTTTCTTTCTATCAAATCATTAAAAACAAACACTTGTAGCCTATAAATTTTTTATAAGCCAAATTATTACAATTACATAGCCTATAAATTTATTGGTTAATTTTTGTAGAAAACTTTCGCTTGTTTTTATGAATCCAAAGTTTTAGTTTTGATAATTAAGCTTTCAAAGTTGTAATTGTTATAACCCAAAAGTGTGAAATGAATTTGTTTGAAAAATAAGAAAATTCTAAAGTAGAGTACTCTGATGTTAGGCCACTAACAATATTATATTGTACTATTTCAAACTAAACTGTGTTTTTTTTTCTTATATTAAAATCCCAACAAGGATTAGAAGATGAAAAAGACTTCAAGCCTAAATCATAACATTATCGAAAGGTAATGGTTACCAACCCCAATAATAAACCAATAAAGGCCAAAATATTTTGCAATAGACGCCAACAGAAAAACATAACTAATAAATAATATTATACAATTGATGATATCAACATAAACATACCCATAAAAATCCAAATTACTAACTACTCAATTCAAAAACAACCATGGTGATACCTTCATTAGATAATAAAAATGTTGGCTTATTTTTCCTTATATTATTGTGACTTCTTCATTAGTGCATCTCCAACCAAAACTCTCATTTTTCACTGCAAAATGCAGTAAAATCAAAAAGTGACGTGATTCATCTCCAGTGAAACGCCATTTTGCCACCAAATCATCGTTCATTTCTTTCGCGCCTTTCTCGGACGAGTTCGATAGAGAGAAAGAAATGGCGCAAGTGAACAGTGCGACGCCAATATTGGCGTGGCACTGTTCAACTGCGATCAAATGACGGAAGAAATGGCGTCCCGTTGCGACGTTTGAGGGCCTCCATTCCACTGTTTGCCGAACGGTTGGAGATGGTCTTGGGTAATACCTCAAGGTGAGTATTTTGTCTTTATTTGTGATGAATTTCTTATTATTTATTAAAGCAAATTTTTAGTACAAATTTTTTTTTTTTTTTTTTTTTTTGCACTAAAAAATTGTTTTAAAAAGCAATAAAAAAGTCGCCCTAAATGAAGCCTTTGTCATCTCAATAAAGTGCGTAAATCTTACTAGGGTATGACCCAATACTAAAATTTATTGTGAAAGAACATAATAGGACTTGCAACTTGTGCGACGCCAATATTGGCGTTGTACTGTTCAACTGCGATCAAATGACGGAAGAAATGGCGTTCGGTTGCGACGTTTGAGGGCCTCCATTCGGCTGCTTGCCGAACGGTTGGAAATGGTCTTAGGTAATACCTCAAGTTGAGTATTTTGTCTTTATTTGTGATGAGTTTCTTATTATTTTTTAGTACAAAAAAAAAAAAATTTCACTAAAAAATTGTTTTAAAAACAATAAGAATGTTGTCCTAAATGAAGCCTTTGTCATCTCAATAAAGTGTGTAAATCTTACTAGGGTATGACCCAATACTAAAATTTATTGTGAAAGAACATAATAGGACTTGCAACTTGAAATATCAAAAAGCTAAGAAATCATGATATTTGCCTTACAATATCTTCTAAAAGAGAACAAATTAGACCTTCCTAAACATTTTAAAATTCATTATATTAACTCTAAATGCAAATACAGAATATGACTGATTTGTTATTAATTATGAAGTGGGGCTTATAATATTGCTATTAAAGAAAAGCCAGCTCGACTATTTTGACAAAAATGTGCAATATTATAAATTTTATTGAGTTATATAACCCTAATGTGAGATAAAATATTAATTTATAGGCTTAACTTGTAATGCTTTCACATTCATTTATCAACCATAGGTATTTATTAATTTCTATCAAGCAACACCCATATGAAAAAGATAGTCAATCAAATTTTGGTTATACATCCATGGAACATAAAAGGAGATTATTATTGGTTATTTTGAAATTATTTTCTTAAAGAGAAGTCAAGCTTTAATTAGTTTTACTAAAAATTAATTTTTGTAATTGATTTTAGATATATTGCTTAAATATTATGATAGAATATTTAAATTTTAATATTACAATAGTGATCTATATCATTCATAATATATAAAAAAAAACAAATAAAATATTGGCAACTGAAGTAAAGCAGCATAAAGCAAACAATCATATCGATAGATAATCTTTGGATGCAATAAGCAGGCCCTACTTAATACGACCTAAATCTATATTTTAGGCAAAAATACAAGATATTATGTGGGATCTTCAAATTGAACTCCACCAAGTTCATATAAAGACATCCATCATCTACATCATCCAACATTATTGCAAAGCTCTTCTTTACAATGAATATATAATTAAAGAAAAAAAAAACATGTGCAGCATAAAAAACTATACACATAGCTTTTCTTTGAATATCAATGGGCCTAATACATTTATTTGTTAACCAGTATGTTGTGCCTTCAAAGCACAATAAGAAAAAATGAAATAGAAAAAGAAACATCAATGTTATAGTAAACATAATTACAAGCAAATAATATTACCAACCCATCATATATCACTCAATCATACAAGGGATAAAGAAATATAGTGTAAGATACTTCCTAATCATAGGATGCCTAAGAATGTGTTTATCAAATATCTAGTATGTGCAATGCCAATGCAATTACCATATATTTAAGAGTTTCAAATTTGTCTCCCTCATCAGTGTTAGTTTCAAGTTCTTCCAATAAAAGAATATGTGCCTTATAAATATTTTATATGTATGCTTTTTCATGATATTTAAAGTATAGAATATCTATGATTTTCCTAAGGATTATAATAGTGGGGATCCTAGGAATGGAAATAGTTGGTGACATCGACGATAAATATTATTATATCAATAGAATTGGAAATAGTGCATGGGGTGTAGAACCTTTTGATCTAAAGCTATGAGACCTCTTCTTCTACTTTTCCAAAAGTAATGCACAATGAAATATTTCTTTTAGATGATGGCGATCCTAAAGCTCAAAGTTATTCCTAATCTAAGCTATAAGAACTATAAGAACCTCATTAACTAACTTTTAATTAAAGTGTGGTTGGTCATAGCAACTAGGTCCTCACAAGTGTTCAAATAATTAGTCACATATAGACTCTCTTTTCTTAAGATCATGTTTGGGTTATAGACTTTCTTATCATACTATATTGGACTTTTTTTTTTCTCAAGTGTCTTCTTTATATCTAGCCATTTGAGGGTAGCCCCACCTAACCTTTCATCCTTTGCTTGTACATTATTCTAATAGATATTTGCATCTTTCACAAGCTTCTTTTTAACAAAGGCCACTTTCTAAGAAAAAACCAAAACCATGCCATTCAAAGAATTCATCTAGCTTCAAGTGCAAAACTATTTTAGTTAATTTTTGAGTCATAAATTATTATAATTTCACATATTGGGGTGATAAGATAGCTTACTTATGCACAATTAAAATTATTAATCAATTAAATCAAGAAATTAAGCTTAATTAGAAAATCTATAAGTAAACATATTTTCTAATCAAAGATTATATTTTATGATTAGATTCAATCTTAGTTCAAATTAATTAAATAGGTTTATTAGTTAAGTAATTATTTAGTTAATAAAAATGTTTATTAGTGTCGTACTTTATGAAATGCATTGTATGGTATGATATGTTTATATTGAAATAAATTAACAATATCAAATTGTATTAATTATAATGTTCAAGTTTTAAGCTAACTATACTATATAATACATATATTAACACATCATAGATTTCCTAATTTTATTATTAAATCACACATTTTAAATCAGTCAATATTTATGAGCATATTTTAAATTATTCGTTTATCATGTGATTATGAATATACACCACAATAAGCTAGTTGTTTGAATTTGAAATTTCAATCAGTATTAATTGAGAATTTCATTGATTCGAAGACTAATTGACTATTAATATTATATTATTATGAATGTACGTAAGAGTCCCAAGAAGATTCCAACACTAAACAAATTCTAAGCGAAAAAAATTTTAGAGGGTGGAAAACTATTCATACACTAGACCATTTTTTTTCTTACAAATCTTACCTCTATAAGCTTGAATATTTGAGTTTTGAGATCTTTTTTTTATATATATTTTTGAAAAAGAGGTCTTTGATCTTATAATGAGGTTGATTATGCAATGAGCTGAGCTAAAAGTGAAAAATTTATACTATAGGAAAATCGTCTATTAAAGATGAATTCTCCAGGCAGAAAATGCTCATTTTTCAGCGGATTTTGACGTTTCCAGCAGACTTCATGTAGTGGAATGATTTGGACATTTCCAGCAGACTTTCTGTTGTGTATTTTTTTGGCGCATTTGGAAAGTGATTATGTAATGAGCTTTGCCAAAATTTCCAAACGAAAAATGGACGCCGGAAAAATATAAAAAGAAAATTAAAAAAAAATTCCGCTCCACCCGGCCCGCTCGGGGTATCCCATTGCTAGCTAGCCCTGCTCGCGCTGCATGCTACCTACCCGCAGCACCCCGCTACGCCCTAGCCTGCCCTACCCTCCTGCTACAGACCTGCCCTGGCCATGGTACTCGCTCGCCAGCCCTGCTCCACAGCCTACAATCCCCACACCGCTGCCCGAAAGCCCAGTCGTTCACGCATGAGCGCTGGGAATTAATAGAGACATTGGCACTAGGAATTAGCAAGATTAGCATATTTGACTATGTTTTTTGGAGGAAACAAATAGAAGATTAGCAAAAAGATGCATTTACCCTTGGACAAAAAGTTACTGCCTATAAGACTGCAATCTTCTTGATAGACAAGTTTCAAAGACATAGCTCACAATATGACAATGGAGAAAAACACTATAGGTTTGATGAAGATTTTGTCAGATATATATGAAAAGCCCTTGGCTTATAATAAGGTACACTTATTATAAAAATAGTTTTATTAAATGGTTAAAGGTGATTTGGTGGTTGGGAGTCTAAATAAGTTCAACAGAATAATGAATTAATTGCTCTCAACGCTTCATCACCAAATAGTCGAGAATCTATGAGAGTTATTGGGTGCAATTACATGGTGAATTTAAAATATAAGTTTCATTATGTTTAAGATAATATTTCTATGGAGGGAGTTCTAAGGAGAGATTTTAGAGAATTCTCAACATTGAATTCCACTTTGAATGTTTATGATAATGGTACATAATCGGTATGGGGCCAAACAATTGAATATGCTTGGATTACAAATATGCGAATGCTGTAGAAAATCAGAATTGAATCAAATTTGAGATAACTGAGTCGATCCAATTCAGATTATGGAACCAAAAAAATTCTAAGCCAGTTTAAGAACTTGGATGTAAAGAGTACAAAAGTAGAATCGATCAAATATGCACCCGAATTCATGAAAGCTTTTTGTTCTCAATAATTTTTTTCCTGTGCAAGAATCAGAAGACAGTATATCCAAGTTCGGGTGTAACACATATTTCCATACCTGAAGGCTGGAATCATGAATAATGATCACAGATCCCTTTATACAGGGCATAGTTACTGTAATAAGAAGCATAAAAGCCGTGTATATAAACAGAAAATGGCGTCCGGATTTGTTCGAAGGCGAATCCGGATGCGCCACGTAATAATCTCTCCTAATTCAGTGATGGCTGCAGTGCTAACAGTATCATTCGAGCCCAGTAACAAGTAAAAAAAAGCTGATTTCTGCAGCTCAAATTCTATGGTTGGCCACAAACCTAACAGTATTATTCAAACCCCAACAATATGATGCCTTTTAGCCTATGAAAAGGATAAAACATGGAATGACTTCAGACTTGTCATTATCATAAAGCAACCAAATGAAAAGGAGCACGAGGCCCTGTGATTAAAGGGGACAAATAGGTCAATATAATAACACTTCTCCACCACAGAAAATAACTACATTCCACACGAGAGAAAAATAAAGTTGTAAAGAATGATAGTATGGTATTAAAAATACACATCATCCATCAGATCATCATCACATTCACTACCTATATAAGACTCGAATTAGTTCGAAATAATATTTGATACCAACCCAGAAGTCACCTTCTCTGACCTCTTCTTAAGAACCACAGCAGGCCGATCTCTCCGGAGCTTTGTTTTCACCTGCAGTTTGTTCGGGTTTGTTTATCTTAATTGTCCGTTCCTGCAAAAATTCCAAAGTAATGATTCTTCATGATAAGCTGGACTTGAAAAGGAACCAAGCTCTATTGATCCTATAGTTAAAAATCATACCTCAGGTTTGTTATCGGATTCTGCAAGCCTCTGCTTGATGTCTCTGGCAATTGAAAAGAAAACTTGCTCCACGTTTAGATTTGTTTTTGCACTCTGCAGAGAAAGAGTGACAGTGCAAAAATGTTAAGAAAACAATTCATGAACGTAATGCAGTACCGTCAAAACAATTCCAAATTACAGTTTCAAAGAACTTGATGCCATATTCATCTGCAAGAGCTTGTCCCTTTGAAGTCGGTACAGCCTGGGATGTAGAAATTGCATTCAAGAATCAGTGCTAAGATCAATCATTATTCAAGGTAGAACATTTTAAATAACACGATTGGGAAGAGAGAGAAAATGAGAAGGAGAGAGATGAGGATACCCTTTTGCTTTCATCCATGTCAGCCTTATTACCAACTAGAATTTTGTTAACGTTATCAGAGGCATGTTGTTCAATGTTTCGGATCCAATTCCTAATATCTACATAACATTAAGACTCAAAAAGTTAAGAATTTGACTCAAAAAAAAAAAAAAAACTTAGGGAGAAAAAAGTATGGTGGTTACTGTTGAAGGATGACTCGTCAGTTACATCATAGACGAGTAAAATACCCATGGCACCTCGATAGTAAGCTACAACAAAAGAGATGGAGTATTAGAAACGCCATTAGAAGAAAAATAGAGCCAACATATACGCAAAAACAAATAAATGACTAAAAACAATGGAATAAGCCAAAAAAAAAAAAGAAGCATACCTGTAGTAATAGTTCTAAAACGCTCCTGGCCAGCAGTATCCCAGATTTGTAGTTTAATACGTTTGCCATCTAGCTCAATTGTTCTGATTTTAAAATCAATACTGCATTGACAAACAACAAATTCAGTTAATTAAGAAATTGAACAGAAAAAATGCTTGGCAGTGGTTAAAATGGGATAAACTACTAATTCACAAGCACTTCAAACAATACAAGTATGACGGGAAGGGAACCCACCCGATTGTGGTAATGAAACTAGTGGTGAAGGAGCCATCAGAGAACCGTAAAAGCAAGCAACTCTTGCCGACGCCTATGAAATGAAACATAAATCAGTTTACAATAATTAATACACACTAAAACATGAGTAAGATTTAATCTAAATAATCTAGCATCCAAGACAGTGAATCAAAATGGATAAAAGAAATAAGAACAAGAGCTTATTAAAAAGATTTTTGGCAGGAAGAGTACAAAAATAATTGTGTAAAAAAACAAAAATAGGAACAAGTTTTAACACAAAAATAAGCTTTAGAAACCCCTTTTTATAGAGTTTTGAAAATCCATCCTTATCACTCATAAAACTATATACTAAGATAAAAAAAAACTTGGAACACAACAAAAAAACCAATATATTGGTTTTTTTTTACAGGAAATAACATAGCTGCTAACTTCAATTTTTGTTATTTTGGAGAAGAAGTTAGTTTACTCAAAATATTGATTTTATAAGTAAAGAAATCCTGTAGCAAAATAAACCATGTTTCTTATCTTATTAAATCCCTGACCATCACGAGGAAATGAGCGGAGAAAAGGACGGTGGCAGTGGTTTTGACTGAGGGGCTTCAATTGCTATTCCCCTCTTTTTCCACTATGAAAGCAGATTGATGATCCTCAACAAGGCCTGACGTATATGTGATGAAGAAGAAAAGCACATGATGAGGAGGAAGGGAGATGTGGCAGCTTCTTTCAGTTTGCAACAAAAGAGAAGAGAACTAGTCCACCAAGCTATAGGCCAACCAGTCTAATAGAATGGTTCATTGGATTGATAACAATGAGCCATACACTGGGTAAATTCAAAAATCATCAAATGAACATTGGCTTCACCCCTTTGGGTCCTAAAAGAAAAGAGACTCAGCAGAGGGGGAAACATAGTTGCCCCAAAAAAAAATCCGTAAAAAAAATATCGTTAAAGTCAGGTTCAATAATTTTGTTAAACAAAGAGTAAATTCCAACTAAGAGGTTCAAAGTTCGAGTCTATGTGTATGCGTTGTGTGTGTGAGTTTGCCTTAAATGGCCTAAATGTCCCCCAAAAAAAAAACAAAGAGTAAATTCAAAAATAAAATTAAAAATAAAAAAAATTAAAACAAAGATTATATTATCAGATCATCCCTGTTTTTCAAACACTTGTCTCCTTATCTTTATGAAAGGAGATAATCGTATCCCAGCAAGCTTTCTTTTAATTCTTTGCTATTTACAAGCATAGCCAGGGCAATCATAAAATCAAAGGTCAACCTAAAAGTTAAGATAGCTATTGAAATGCACCAAATGGCGTGCTAACATAGTGGTGCACAACAAAGGTTATAAACCTACATCTTAAGGAATGTTATAACTATTAAGTGGATTGCAAGCACTCTAAGCAAATCAAAACCTAAAACCACGCCTAAATCATCTCTTTCCAAGGTAAAAAAATGTTTGCCACTGCCAAATGATTTGGCAATACTATGGCCCTAACAAGTTATCAATACGCCCAATATTTCAATTTATCTAGTATGACAAACCCCTCTGGCACAAAAAGATAACAAGTTTGCCAATAAAAAGCATATCATTGGCTTAACATCATCCCTCATCCTTAAGGGAATTCCTTGACTAAGGAAACACATGATTGTTAATAAGAAAACTAACAATCATAGCTAAAGCTAGTTGGCTTGAAGCCTAAAATCATAGCTAGCTCCTAACCTAGCACTAATAATGATAAGAGTTAATGATCCAACCCAAAGCCCATGGTCTACATAATGCTCCAGACTTAAAGCTATATTGTTACAATGGTCCCAACTTTTCAGAGTAAAAACCACTTTGGATGATGGAACTATAGGATCTAGGTTGGATTTAAATCTATCCCATAAACATTCACCTAACGTATGAAACACCGTGATAGGACAATTATATGAATGTCTTTTCTCTAATGTGAATACCTAAAGCAATCTCCTCATTCGAGAGCACTCTCTCTTGGGAATGGCAATTAACTATGATAGCTTGTACCATAGGAAGTCTCACGTCCAAGATCCAAACAAACTCAGATTAAAATAATTCTATTCATGATAAAATCAATATACAGCATGAAATACTCTCGAGTTCTCACACACAAGAGCAGAGGATTTTTTCCGAGCAAACCATAGCATTCATGTGCAATGCATACTTTATCATAATATCAAGAAAGATGAAAGAGGCCTACATCAGATATTCCCTAAAAGGAAAAACTAGTGATTATATCCATAGTTTCTTTTCTCTGATTAAAAAATCCAGGGAATTCAAAATTTTGCAGCCGTAAAACCATACAAAAAAATCACACTGAGAGCAACAAAACTATAAAAGAAAACAAAAACAGCCAAATCAAAGTTAATGACAGAACTGAATGTCTAAAAAGAAAGAAATGACACCATTACATCAAAAAATTTATTTAAAACAATTATAATAAAGCAAAATCGGATAGAACAAAAAAAATGTATGCAAGCTTGGGGCATTCAATTGTCAATAACACATGTAAGTGAGGATTGCAAGTGTACATGAGATGGGCACAGTATGCAGTAAATGGTTAAGAAAACTTGTTCTTTTAAGATATAGAGTTTCAAAAAAAAAAAAAAACACGTTAGTACAACAGTGTGAGAAGCACCGACAATCTAATTGACTTCTTAAACTACTTCCTATTAATTATCACTGGACTCAGAAACAGTTACGTACCAAAATGAATGTACTAGGTATAACATTGTATGTCATATATATGAGTCTAGCTTCAAGCTGAAGAAAAAAGACAAAAAATCATTATATATCAAGTTTAAGACAAGATTTTGAACCCTAACTTCATCTATAAATATGTGTACAAATTCAAAATTTTCAAGCTTAATTCTAAACCGAACATAAAGTCCTTCCGCAGAATCCAAAACAAGACGAGTACCCAAAAACCAGTCCTTAAGATGGACCCATCCTTCAAATAAAATGTGGTTCTTTGCCATACATCTAAAAAGGAGAAGGGAACCAGAATTAAGATTAACAAAGAAATAATTTGAATACATATAAGCTGCATCTCAAAGAGGGGAATATAGGAAGTGTTTCATAAAACACTTCCAGATGTTTGGTCATCAACTGAGGTGAGGAAGAAGCCTGATCTAAAGAAGTAACTGAAAAAATTATTCTTTTTACACACAAAATAATCTGGTTTAGTTGATATCAACCTATTAATCTGAAATGTCACTTCTTCCACTTAATAAGGGGTAAAACAAGCCTACGGCCTTCTCAAATAAATTTTGTAATCAATTGAGTAAAAGCCCAAAATAGTCCCTCAACTATTAGCAAATGATCAATTTAATCTCAAACTTTCATGATGACTCAATTTAATCCCCCGACTATTTGAAAATATCCCAATTTGGTCTAAGGCCGAAAGTAATGGTTAAAATTAACCCAAACAACTAAATTTGAGGGCATGTTGGATATTATAGTCTATGTGAGATTATACTTTTTTTTTTTGTTATTCATTATATTAAAATAAACATAAAATCATAATAGAAAATAACCAACTAAATATCAAGAGTGAATAATTAATAAATATGGTTAACTTCCATTTTAATTTTTATATTTATTGTAATATGATAAATGACAAAATATATAAAAAAATAATAATATAATCTTATATATATCCTAATACCCAAAATGTCCTCGCATTTAACTGTTTTGGTTAACTTCAAATGTTATTTTTGGCCTTGGGATCAAATTGAAACTTTTTCTAATAGTAATAGTCAGGGAACTAAATTGAGCCATTATGAAAATCTGGGACCAAATTAGACATTTACTAATAGTCAGGGACTATTTTGAGCTGTAACACAATCAATTCAATGCTAAATATAAATGGATTATAGAGATATGTAAGTTATCCTTTTTCCTAATATTGGTGATGTAAATACTCCATCCGATCGATATCCTAATCTAAAAATTGGACCTTTACTTCAACCTAGATGTTTAGAAATAAATTCAGCCATGTCCACTTTTATGCAATAAAAAAAAATGTATACGACTGAACATGGATGACCAATTTTCTGCACTATAACCAAAACGTTCATATGATGCTTCCACAACATCCAAATATATAAAAAGAACAGTGGACCAGAGAAATTGATATTTTGACATAGACCAAAACAGACGTGGTAACGTATATTACTATTCCCATGATGGCTTACTCCTATGATGGTTTCCTGTAGTGTCTTCTATTAGTATGGCATGACTGTGGCTATACTATTCTTGTGCCCTTCTTGCGAGCTTTACATATTCTCCCATTTCTCCTATGGAATGCTCTAGGACGGGCATGGTTCTCATTCTTTGCGACTTCCAGCAGGTTCTATCTTATGGTAGTGACGTCCGAGCTGAGCTTAAATCCAATTTAACTTCAGGACAGTTTAATTCCCTTTAGTTGTTTGTAGGGCTACATAGGATTAGTATTTTCCTATGTTGTGTGTAGCCTAGTAGGTTGCTATGGTTTGTCTATAAATACATAGACAATAAGTGTAATGGGGGAGATTTTTAGAAATGAATAATATTTGAGTTTACTCTCTTGTGCTTTCCTGTATCCTAAAAGTGATTCTTAGGTGGTGGATCCTTCCTCCAAGAAGTTCTTGGAGCGGTGTCCGGCGACTATCACCGGATCGTCGACGTGGATTAGTCGAGCCTCTCCGGTCCGGTGTCTTTTTTTTTAAAAAAAAACTCTATTCAAAAACAATTTGAATAAAATTCAAGCCTTGCTTGAATATGATTCTAACTCTACAGTTGAACAGACAAAATAACGATCGAAACAGTGCTGGGTTTGAAAACAAGTCCACATAACAGTATTTCCAGATCAAATAGATTCCAATTACTCGGATATTTCAATGACGGCTCGGCCAACAATCATTCCATTATTAAGATCTTTATAGACTTGGTTTGCTTCTTCAAATCTGCACTTTCTTGAAACAGTATTTTGAAGGCTGAATATACCAGTCTCAGCAAGTTTGACGACCTGAGGAAGATCCTGTCTTGCTCTTGCACCATACGAACCAATAATTTTTATTCCGA